ATTCGCCGATCGGCGTTTTCTATGCCCGTTAAAAACTTATTTCAAGGGGGATTTTTTCGGTTATAGGGGGAAAAAAACACACTTTTTTGGCGGGGGAATGGGGCCGATATTCGGCCCCAAATTTTACCCAACGAGAGCCCTGTTAGATATCATTGTATGAATAATTCCATACAAAAAATAAAGTAAATACACATGTAACGCAGAAAAAAACCTTATTTATTATGGAAGATTCCACTACGTCTGTTTGAATTTTATTGATTTTCATTATAAACAATTTATTTTTTTGAATAATTTGGAATAGATATTAAAGGAATATTGATAATTTTCAAAAACATCAATTTTTTCACCTTAAACGGTTAAATAATGATAGCAAAATCGAAATATCACGTAACTGTGTTATGTACTTTATTTCATGTAATTCCCCAGAGCTAAAACGGTAACGTACCGGAAAACAGTGTTTAGCTAGGTTTTCGAAAAGGTCAATAGCCTTGTAAATATTATAGTAAAACACTTTTTACTTGGGTGCCGCTACTTTGTTGTTAACTTTCTGTTTTAAATTTCTTGTAATAACATTTATTCTCCATGGAGAGAATTCACTTAGATTTTTTAGGTCCTTTACCAACAATACCTAGAGGAAATCAACATGTATTGATGATTGTAGATCAATTCACCAAGTGGGTGGAATGTATACCCCTGCCTTCACAAACTGCTGAAGTAACAGCTCATGCAGCAGTAAATGTTTTTTTTTCAAGATTTGGTTGTCCGCTGCAGATTCATTCAGATCAAGGTCGCAATTTTGAAGGAAAACTTTGCTGAGTTATGTAGAGCTTTAGAAATTCATGAAACTAGAACAACACCTTATCGCCCAGCTTCCAATGGCCTATGTGAACGATTAAACCGAATGCTCATGGATGCGGTGCGATGTTTTATAGGGAAACATGAAAACCAGTGGGATTTGTATCTTCCGCAGATAGCGAGCGCATTAAGAGCATCTGTAAACAGAAGCACAGGGTTTACAGCTAATAAACTCCTGTTAGGTCGTGAAGTTAACACACCAGCCACATTGATGTTTCCTGTAGTGAAACATAATACAAATATCAGTCCTGATAATTATGTTGCAAAAATAACTCCAGAAATTGAAAAAGCTCACAAGTAGCAAGGGCTAACTTGAAATGTTCATTTAAGCGAATGGAAAGAAATTATGATTGCAAGTATTAAAGGAAAATGTAGAAAATTATCCTCACCATGGAAAGGACCAGGTGTGATATTAAAAAAATTGTCACCTTATATTTATCGGGTGAAATTGAATTCACTGCTATTGATTTTCATTTTCCTTGACCATGATAAATACAGGTTGACATATAGTTTACTGATAGTGAGATTTTTGGGCCATCCAAGTTTTTATAATTATTAGAATACTGCTGTGGAAGCTGTGTTAATATTTAACATGAAATTAGGTAAATTAGGTAAAGCTTATTTCTGTTTTAAAGGTGTATCTTGTGCACTGCTTCTGTTTTCATCCTGCAATTAAACTGTCCTCCAATAGTTCTGTTCACGGTACTAAACACTATGAAACAAGAAAGAAAACAACAAATGATACTTATGGTACAAAAATTGTCATAAGCTGTAACATATAGGTATTTTCTGGTATATGACAAGGATGCAACAATTTATTCAGTCAAAATCAGTTTTAATTGGCCAGACCTAGACCATATGTTGACCATTTTGAAAACAGTATGTCATCATTTAAATCGTGGGAAATGGTGTTACACTTCAGGTATTTAATGTTTCAACTAAAAGTTCTACATTTTATTTTGCTCAGTTTTAAATATTAAAAAACTATTTTTTCATTGTAACTCTAAATTTAATTTTACATCAAACAAGAACATTTAGAAAATGATGATTGTTTCAGAAGTATGCACAAATTTAATGGACTTTTGTTGCTTTTTGCAGAATATTGTGAAATTTTGTTCTGTTTTACGTAAAAATCTACTTATGATAATTTGTGTTAATAAAATATCATTGCATCTTTGTTTTTCATTTACCATTATTTGAAATTTTGAAAATTACAGTAAAATATTTTTTTCGCAATTTTTAGCCAAACACCGCTAAAATTCCCAATCCGAAGGGTATGGGTCATATTCCCAAAATACTGAGAAAAAAAATCCTGTGATTAGATGTATTCAGTAGGGTGGGGAATTATATTCGAATATTCAAACAATACCGAATATTCAAACATTGATAAACGAATACGAATATTCGAAAAAAAAGGAGCAATGTTTTTTTTTTGTCATTGCTTTCAAATTTCAATTAAGATCGTAAATTAAACCCTTGATCTTTTCTTGACCAGGTGTTCATATGTTTGTATGACGTGTGTCAACAATTATCGCAGTGTTCGAAATTAGCAGTAGTCCTATAGCCCCTGACTACTAAATATCTCCTCGGGCTACCAACTTTTCACAGTAACAAGCCCGACCAGGCTACTGTATTTTCAAAGGCAATATAAACAACTGTTTTGAACAAACAAATTGTGCTAGTGAAATGTCTTTTGGGCTAGTGAATATTCCAATCTGGTAGTCCGACCAGCCTAGTCGATTCAAATCCTAATTTCTTACACTGTTACGCCAATTAACTGTGAAAATTTTGGGGTCTACTTGATCAAAAGGGCACCCGTTTCACAGTTTGCAATTTACCTGTTTAACAGTTTATAATGTAAATTTTTCCGATTTTAATTATCTTATTTATTGTTTTCTGTGTTATAATCTTTCCGATTAATCAATAAATGTTTTGAACCGCCTCCGTGGTCGAGGGGTTAGAATCGATGACTTCTTATCCAGTACCTCTCTGGCGTGGGTTCGATCCCCCGGAGATGCTTTGGTAGTTTAGCGCGGAGGAAGGTAAGTCTAGTACTGGTGTAGCTCTCAGGAATGATGGTTAGGAAACTACCCGCCTATATGACTGAAATACTGTTGAAAAGGCGTAAAACGAAACAAACAAACAAACAATCTTAAATTTTGTGAATAAGAATAAATCAGCACGCATTATTCGGCGCGTTATGAAAGCATAGGAAGTGTCTAAATTGTCAGAATATATTTATTCCGTAGACATTAGACTCCATGTGACATTTACTGCGTTATAGCTAAATTTATCATAAGAATATTTTAAACTTTATCTAAAATTATAAATAAAAAAATATTTAATACAAGTTAAGTTTCAATATAATTATGTGATTTTGGCAGTCTGCACGAAAAACTTTTTATGGACAAAGACATTCGGGCTTGGTCCATTAAAATATCACATAGCCCGAACAAATTTTAGGTAGCCCGAAAATTCATACAAAATTTTTCATAATTTGGCCAGGTTTTCAAATTTATATATATTGTGAATAAATTTTTCGTACTCGTCACCTGTAAAATCTGAGGTACCATCACAAGAGAAGCTAACAAAAGGTGAATTCTGAAACAACTGTTTTGTATTTGAATATTCTGTTGAAGCAATGTGTTTAATAAAATCTGCACAAGATTTGTCATTCAAATATGTATTGCCTATATCAATTCCTTTGCTTTTTGTCAAGGCACAAAGTACATTGTAAGTCTTGAAAGACAAATTGTGTTTAGCTACAGCATGTGCATTCTTAAAGAATCTCGGACAATCCCCTCCCGGACGATTCCCCTTACATATTATTTTCACAACCCGGACATTTCCCCTCTCGTTATTTTAATAGGGGCGGACTTTCCCCCTCCCGTTAATTTTACAGGGCGGACAATTCCCTCCCATTATTTTTAGCAGAGCGGACAATTCCCCTCCCGTTTTTTCACAGAGCAGAACGTGACATTATACATCCCTTAATCATAGCCGCCTATGCGATTAAAATTCTATAACATTCTAATTAAAGATGACAGTCTTTACTCTTAACAACAAACTGTTAAAGATCGGAACTTTTAACAATCATTATTTCACAAAGGTGACATTATACCGCCTTTAATCATGCCGCCGCTGCTTAAGATAAACAAAACTGTCAATAAAAAATCTTTAAATCATTGGCGCCCTTAATTAAATGTGTCCTTAATTGCAAAACCAATTATTGACAATTATTAATTATCGTTAAAGCAGATCACAATAATTGTGTTTGTAATTAGTGTACAAAAAGTATTTACTATTTATAATTAGTCTATTTATTATTAAAGATGACAGTTTTTTTTTTTACTCTAAAAACAAACTGTTAAAACTGAAAACATTTATAATATTGTCAAATCTTTCTTCAAATCACTTCCAAAATGGAAAATTATTACAACAAAAACAGTACCAAAAAACTTTGTCATGATGGATACGTTTATACAAGAAGAGAACAACAAAATCTACTATACGATGGAGTGTTCCCAGAGGTACGCCCAAAAAATGCAAGGGTTGCTGCGGTGACAGACTTGAACGTAAGTTTCATGAATAAATAATTAAGTAATAATTAAGTAAACAGAAAATAATTAGAACTAATTTTAAATATTCCTACATTACGAGCCATTGTACAAATTAATACGTATTTTAAAAACAAATAGTATCTTTTAGAAGTATAAAATAAAACCACAACATAATTTGTTAATACTTGTCGTGTATATTTTTGTATTATATAAATAATTTAAAGTTGTCTTATAAAATTTATTCCTTTTGTAGATGAACGAAGTGTTCATTCAGTAACTTCTCACACACATGACGCAGATAAATTCGCAGTAGAAGCCATAAAAATTAGAACAGAATAATGAATGCAGCTGATGCTAATAGAGGAAAACCTGGTCAGAATTCTTGCTGATAAACTGCTCCACTATCCAGTGCAGGTAATTATAACACTGTTTTTTTACGGAAAGAATAAAGTTAGCACAATATTTATTTAAAATAAATATTAAATAGAAAATAAACTTAAAGAGAATAAGTATTATAAAGAAAAAGAAATAAATGACAATAAAAGATAAAATTCTTTTCTCCTTAATCTCTATATGTCTGGTGTACGTGAATAGCCATATTTGTTTGCATTATAATAAAAGAATTGCACCTTAGTAAAAAAGAAATACATGTGAGGAGTAAAGGTCGATGTTATATTGAATGTAAGTTTAATCCTTAATGTATGTTAGCTTTATTTTTTTTTTTTTAGGTGCGCGCGCAGCAACAGGACAACATGAATCTCTGAAAAGATCGATTAGACGTGTAAAAAGAGGACAAGCACCAAAAGAACCAACATCAATTAACGACATTCCACCATCCACTACCGAATGATTACACACTACAAATGCAGGAAATGATTGAACCATTCCTGATACAGACGACAATGCGTCCGACACAAGCCGCCTCCTTATATTTTCAAGTGAAACCGGATTAGAACTTTTAGAAACGCTCAAACTTGGTACATGGATGAACTCATTCCACAGCACCACAGCAGTTTGGACAATTATTCTGTATAAGAGTTCCATTAAGTGATTCACATGTTTCGGTGGTGTACACTCTATTACCTGGTAAACAACAGTCACACTATGAAGAATGTTTTTACAGCAATTTTAGACGTTTGCTTACAGAAAAGACATCCGGCCCAACCCAGCAACAATCGTCGCAGACTATGAGATCACCATACACAACGCGGTGAGATCAGTCATTGGCTCAAGTATCCATATACAGGTATGTATGCTTACAAAATATATCAAATGCATCCCAGATAATACAAGTATGCACTGTTTCTTATCAAAACAGCAAAAATAAATATGTCTGTATGTTTAAGTATAAACACCTTATTTCAAATAGTCACAATGCTATCACTAGTTATATTATTTATTAAATACGTAGTAACGTTTAATCTTTATTTTTGTGTTAAAAAGTGTCCGATTATTGTTAGATTTGACTAACTTCTTTATTTTATTTCAGGGTTGTTTTTATCATCTAACACAAGCTACATGGCGTCATATTCAAAGCGAAGGGTTACAGTCGTTATACAGAGAAGACAAGGATATCAGACACTTCTGTGGTCAATTAGACGGCCTTGCCTTCCTTCCAGCGAGCAAGGTGACTGAAGGAATGTCGCTTCTTCGAGATTCAGTCCCAGATGTCTTGTCAGGTTTAGTAGACTATTTCGACTCAACGTACGTTTCTGGGTCATACAGATCAGTGCTATGTAATGGACGAATTCGACTACGAAAGACATCACCAAGATTCGATCCCCAAGTATGGAATGTTCATGAAACAACACTTAATGACGGTGACCGCACCAACAACGTTTGTGAGAGTTGGAACAATGGTTTTAGACATCTTGTAGGACACAGTAATCCATCATTGTGGACAGTTATAAATTGCCTCCAGAAAGACAATTCATTAGTAGAGACAGAGGTGTATAGAGACTGTGTAGGAGAAAATGTGACGAAACGTAGGAGAAAAGAAACAGTCTCTCATCAGAGAAAACTCAAGAAACTGTGCGAGGAAATTCAGTCAGGAACGAAATCAACCCAGGAATTCCTACATGCCATAGGGAAATGTGTAAGACTTGTGAAATGAAGTAGAACTCCTACAAATGTGTTATAAAATCAAAATGATCATTGATATTTTGTGTTAGGACTTGACTTCATGTACTGATTCAATATGGTGATGTGATTTTCTAATCATAATGACGATGATGACAGTTCAATTCCTATTACATGTGCATAATAATATTATATTCTTTGCAAAAATCTATAGCTTAATCGTTTTGTTCTCATCAATTGTTTTTTTATTGTTTTGCCGCTGCAAAAATGTATTGACGAAATAAAGATTATTTTAAAAAATGCGTTTTGTTTTGTTTATATTCATGTATGAAAATTGGGGAATATACCATTCGCTCGTCCGCACGAGACACGCAAAATGTATTTAAAGCCGATTAAAACTTGTAGGAGGGGAATTGTCCGGGTTGTTAAAAGAACGGGAGGGGAATTGTCCGGGTTGATAAAAGAACAGGAGGGGAATTGTCCGCCGTAAAAAAATAACGGGAGGGGAAATGTCCGGGTTGTGAAAAAACATTCAAATTTACTGGGAGGGGAATCGTCCGGATTCCATTCTTAAACAACACAGTTAGCTTAGATCTTTCTGCCTGTTTTAACTGGAGAAGAGCCTGTCCACTCTTGGTTTTCAAAGTGTCACTCTCTGAAATCGGTTTCTGAATTTTAAGAACTGACTGTGTGTGGCACTTTGACTTGTTATGCGAGACAACCGCTTCAAGCTTGAAATTAGTACATCCGACCACAAAATTATTGTTGATGTCACCGTTCCCTTCACACACTTCACAGTACATTCTTCCGTTTTTCAAATTTCAACCATTCCCTCCCACCCTCCAATGGCTTTGAAAACTGCGTATCCTTTTCTTTTCATATTCCTTTTTCGATGTTGTTGTGCTTTCTTCAATCTTTAAACGTTTTCCTGGCTTAGAGCCCGGCGTCCATTTCAAAATGTGCGCCATTTTGACATTTTAATAACGCGGTATTTGATTGGCTTAAAATGTCTATGCATTATTTCAATAAGCTTACCCCTCTGGCGTTTTGGAAATACCAGTGTCAATACCCCGAAAAAAATCAATATGCTATACCCCTCTCGGCGGTTATAAATAGTATCGACGTATATTGGAAAATCCCGTGTCAATACCTCGAAGAAAATCAATATGTTATATCCCTCCCAGTCATTGTGCTTAAAATGCTATTTATAATCATTTCGGTTTCCCAAACAATGCAAGACCGTCAGACTATGTGCCCTGCCTTTTTAGCTAGCCCGAATGATTTTTTACTAGACTCGGGCTCGGGCTTTGCGTATTTTTCGCAGACTGTTTTGGGGCTAAGAGGCTACGATGATTCATATTACTGTCAGTCAAGTCACTTGAGTTACCTCCTGTTAATATGACAGTCAAATTAACTGAACAAAAGACAATCAAATTATGAATTTATTTAAAAAGTAAACATATATCTCAATTTACAGTATATAAAATAAAAAACTTTGACATAGCAATTAAGGTCTTTTTAATCGCCGATTATTCCAAGCATTTTAAAGTAGTATATAGTATTCAATGCAATCAATTTCGGATACGTATAGGTCATAAAGAAATATTGGAACAAATGTTGTAAAAATAAATATTTGAATATGGAAAAAAGAATATTCGAACATCCAATTCCTTATTCGTTCCCAGCCCTTGTATTCAGACAGTGAGTCAGCCCAGTTGGTAGAGCTGAATAACAGTATTTCTTGTATTAGTCCCATTATGTACACATTTTTCACAAGAACCCCAGTAGCACTTAAGGTGTCAAGCATGGCTATAGGTTCCAAGCATGGCTTAACTTTTAGTTTTCCAGTAGGGCTTTAGATCCTAAGCAGGGCTGAAGGTGTCAAGCAGGGATTTAGGACCCCAGAAGCAGTTTAGGTCACCAGCACGGCTTAAGATACCTTGTAGAGCTTAAAGTCATCAGCGGGGCTTTGAAAATTTGTAAAATAGATTGATTTGGTGACAAACAGACTTGGATGGTATGTTATAAAGAGCTGAAGTCTGTATTTACTGGGTTTTTGTGTTGCTTCATACCTTTTAAATGGCTGAAAACGTTTTGAAATAACTTGGCACAAGTGATCACCGTTTGACACGATGTGCAAAGCACAATAATTGGGTTGCTATCCCCAAGGTCAAGGTCACGCTTCAGTGTTTTTTTTCTTGTATTTTACAGCCGAATATGAAGGCTGTTTCCCCTAGCCCAAAATAGGTATATTTTCCCTCTGAAAATGCCAATATTTTCCCCTAAAATGTCCTACAAGAACCATGAATGAACAGCAGCTGACATATCATCTAGAAGACAGAAAGTTGTCCCTATAGATAGCCTCAGCTATGCACCATGCATGTTAAATTGAATTGAAATTGAAAATTTTATAAAATGTTTGGGTAAATTCCATTCTCAGTTTTTTGAATTTGATTTCCTCTTTTCTGATTTATCATATTTTCCTATTCAGAAAGCCACAGGTTGTTTTGAAGAATGTGCTTATAATATGCACAACATCAAGGTCATGGTTGGTTAAAGTTCAGGAAGTACACGTTCATGTACGCTGCGGGAGGGAATTTTGCTTTCCATCAGACTGCCTTGTTCGATACTGAAATCCCTCAATCACTTTTATTATCCCCCGCCGAAAAATTTCGGCGGAGGATATAGAAATAGTCTCCGTCCGTCCCACCTTCCTTCCGTCCGACATTTTTGTCCGGAGCATATCTCTAAAAGTATTTGAGTTATCAACTTGAAACTTCATAGGTGGATAGACCTCATTGAGGAGGAGTGCAGTGCACAAGAATGATAACTCTACCTTGCATGATTTTTGGGTTATTGCCCTTTGTTATTTTTCAAAATTGATTTTTGTCCAGAGCATAACTCCAAAAGCCTTTGAGATATCAAAATGAAACTTTATAGGTGCATAGATCTCACTCAGGAGGTGTGCACTGCACAAATATGATAACTCTACCTTTTATAATTGTTGTGTTATTGCCCTTTGTTCTTTTTCATACTTAATTTTTCAATTCAATTTTTTTCTCAAAAAGTATTTGAGGTATCAACTTGAAACTTCATAGGTGGATAGATTTAACTGAGGAGGGATGCAGCACACAAGAATGATAACCTACCCTGCATTATTTTTCAGTAATTGCCCTTTGTTTTTCAGCCATTAGTATTCACATAGGTTTCAAATCTGTAACCACTATAGCCATCAGTTTTCATTACCAAAAGACCTCTTAAAATCGAATTACTCCGCTCTACTACATATACATTCTTCCAATGAGCAAACACATTCGGCGGGGGATGGCCATGTTGACATGGCTCTTGTTGAATTATAAATTGAAGTCTATTATTCAGATTGTGGATTAAACATGTTCATTATTTACAGGTTAATGGGAAGCTGTGAAACGGAAATATTTCATTGTATGTGGTCACTCGAGGACAGAAATGGCTCGACCTAAAGAAAAAGCGAGAACTGCATTTGATCAGAAGTGTATGGCAGCCTCAGACAAGTTGGCAAGTTTCCAAGCTACCTCACTTAAAGATGACATTGAAAGGTAAGTCAAATATTATGAAATTACTTATCACACTTTTGTTAATTTCTTCAGTATTTTCCAGGTTTGGAGCATGAGTCACCTATATCTTTGAAATAAGGAATTTTTATGGTGTCTGCACAAATTGAGAAAACACAAGATAATGATTTTACAATGATAATCAGATTAGGTTTTATATATTTATTTTTATTATCTAATCAAAAAGTATTTTAACACCACATCGTGTTTTTCCTCAACCCATTTGTATGGTAATCTTTTCTGAATGAATGGTAAAGCTGGTTGAAAAAATTTCCAAAGTTTTTATTCTCTTTAAATAAGGATATTTTTCTCTATGATTTCTCAGTATAGAAACATTTGCACTGACTCCTCACACAAATGGCATCTAATTCCTCATTATCTTTTGCAAGTGTCAACGTTATATATAATATTCAAGCGTCATATTGAACCTAAGTTGCGACTGCATAAAATATTTATCCCATTTTGCTACACAAATGTAAGAAATGACATGTATGTATATATTTTAATTGATTGTGTTGTCACATGTAGTTCGTTCTCCATGTACCAGTTTAGTGGCTATAATTTGTCCAATTTTCCTCAACAACCACAGTTAAATGATCATTATATGAGCCGTGTCATGACAAAACCAACATAATGCGCTTGCGACCAGCATGGATCCAGATCTGCCTGCCCATCCGCGCAGTCTGATCAGTGTCCATGCTGTTTGCTTACAAACCCTATAAAAAGTAGAGAAACTGATAGCGAACAGCATGGATCCTGATCAGACTGCGCAGATGCGCAGGCTATCTGCGCAGTCTGGTCTGGATCCATGCTGGTCGCAAGTGCATTTATGTTGGTTTTGTCGTGACATGGCTCATATTTTGATAAAGATTTCATACCTTGTCAGATTGTTTAGTGGTTGTTTATTTTCTTTCTTGTGGAAAATCTTCAACTCATTAATTAGTGACAAAGGAACTGCGGCAGAATTTTATCAACAGAAAAAAAGCTTTTTTTTCCAGACTTTTACATACATTGTACCCTACAGTTTTTATAATCAATTTAACTGGTCCATGGATGCTGGTTAATGAACCAAAATCTTTATTGAAAAGTCAATTAAAATCTTTAATATCTGATTGAAATTGATGTTAAATTGATTATTCCTCTTGCAGCATATTCACTGTATAAAATTGATGTTAAATTGATTATTCCTCTTGCAGCATATTCACTTTATAATTGATATCAGGTAAGAAGGCACACATCATTCAGTGACACAGAACTTGATATATATGTCCCTGTAATTACTGACTGACAAAGAAACTTCTCTATTTTTTTCTCATATGAATGCAAATATTTTTCATGTACACTCAGGACTCATTACAACGACACTGTTGGTTCCCAAAGGATATGTCAGTATATCGAATTTGTCAGTATAATGAATTTCATCATTCATCATGTAATGATATGCTTATTTATGTGTTCACTTTATTATACACATTTACATATCATACACATAATACAACATCTAGAGCTGTCATTGATTCATTGATTCAGTGAAAGGCATATCGTCGATATATCGATATCAGATTGCAAACATCGACGATACACCGATATATCGATATATTTACCTGTATTTCACATTCATATTTGTATGAATGATTTTTGTAAACAGAACACCTTCTGTAAATGAACTTATGATGTGTTTTGTTCATAAATGTCCTCTGATCATATTTTGCATATATTAGTGCTATGAAATATGTCAATTATCAAATAAATATAGAACTGAATATAAAACTGAGTATTAACTGTGGTTATTCATTTACTGGCCTCCATCCATATCTATACACCATCACACTAAGCAGAACACTTCAATGACTAAAGTTACAATATGAAATCACTATCTCACTTGACTATATACAGAGTTCAAACTTAAATGTATATTAACTAGAATGACTTGTTAACATGACTAGAGAAGAAAAACATAAATGTTACATAAAAAAAATTCAAATTTGTGCATGAGTTTTGTATGTAGGTGTTAAATAACAGTGACTGTAGTCGTAAAGTATTGACACTTGACACTGGAACACAGTGGATATAAAAACCCAGTTGATAATAAGGATGCAAAGGAATTTGATTTTGAAAATATACATTTCTGCAAATAACTATAATTTAATAGGACTTAATCATATTGAAATACAATTTTATTGACTTTTTATGACATTTTTGTAATTTTACTGTTCATACAGAACAAGGATTTGTCAAACCATTGTTACATATTTACTTGACAAAGTTAAAATAATTATTTATTTTATTTATGTACATAGGCCTATTTATTTGTTTATTTTGTAAATGTTAGGAATTTTACAAATTTTTTTATTCTTAAGTAATAGCCTACTGTTAACATTGTTTTCCAATCGGTGCAGGCACTTGACTGATGTTTAACCTTGCCCCAATCATTGTTTACGACTCAAGTTAAATGTATTGCCGCTAAATGGCAGTCATACAACGAATCTAACTTGGGACTAATTTTGAGTTAACAACCCCTTTTTCATCAACAAACCCAAAATGTTCCCAAATGGGAATTGGCTTTGAAATTTTAGCCTTCTTTTTGTCCCAACAATTTTAATGTTTTCAGCCATTTTTAAGTGTTGCTAAGATATGGGCATAGACTAAAATGTAGACATTTGTGAATGATAAATCTCAGATCAAGACAGTTTAAGTATAATGATAATTGATTAAGATCTATTGGATTTTTATTTTCAAATTATTTTTTAAAATTGGATTGTTTTGTTTATATAATTTTCAACACAAAAAAATATGTTTTTTCTGAAGTGCAAATACAGCTACCATACAGTAGCTGTCCATTTAGTAGACACGGTATAGTTTTAGACATGTCCTTTTGACTGGGCACCTGTATTTGTTAGCTCGACTTTTTTTTTTGAAAAAAAAATAGAGGTATTGCTACAGTCAGGTCGGCGTTGCCGTTGCCGTTGCCGTTGCCGTCCGAAAACTTGTACCTGGATCATAACTTTTTTATTTCTTTGTGTATTGTCTTCATACTTGGCCACAACAACCCTTGGGACAAGACCTTTCAGTAGACCACACTAACCTTGACCTTCATCCATAAATGACCTTGACCTTCAAGGTTAAAAGTCCAATTTTTGCTTGTTCATGCTGTTATTGGCTGTAACTTTGTTATTTTTGAATGGATTGCGTCATTGGTGCTATTTTTAGATATTGCGTCATTTTTTCTATTTTTAGAAATTGCGTCATAATTTCTATTTTTAGTATTTTTAGAGATTGCATCATTTTTTCTATTTTTAGAAATTGCGTCATAATTTCTATTTTTAGAAATTGCATCATTGGTGCTATTTTTAGAAATTGCGTCATTGTTGCTATTTTTAGAAAATGCGTCATTGTTTCTAATTTTAGAGATTGCGTCATAATTTCTATTTTTGAAATTGCATCATTGGTGCTATTTTTAGCTCGACTTTTTTTTTGAAAAAAAAAGTAGAGGTATTGCTATAGTCAGGTCGGCGTTGCCGTTGCCGTTGCCGTTGCCGTCCGAAAACTTGTACCTGGATCATAACTTTTTTATTTCTTGGTGTATTGTCTTCATACTTGGCCACAACAACCCTTGGGACAAGACCTTTCAGTTGACCACACTAACCTTGACCTTCATCCATAAATGACCTTGACCTTCAAGGTTAAAAGTCCAATTTTTGCTTGTTCATGCTGTTATTGGCTGTAACTTTGTTATTTTTGAATGGATTGTCTTCAAACTTGAACATGATAATCTTCAAGGATATCCCTTAAAAATAACCAGTCAGACCTTGACCTTCACTCATCAATGACCTTGACTTTGAAGGTCAAATTATTGAAATTTTAATTTTTTTGGCTATTATTGGCTGTAACTTTGTTATTTTTTAATGGATTGTCTTCAAACTTGAACATAATAATCTTCAAAGATAACTGTTAAAAATATACCGAAAGACCTTGACCTTCACTCATTAATGACATTGTCTTTGAAGGTCAAATTATTGAAATTTTCATTGTTTTGGCAGTAACTGACTGTAACTTTGCTATTTATATAAATGTGTGTGTGTGTGTGTGTATATATATATATATATCAAATATATATATATACATATATATACATGTGTATATATACATATATATATATATATATGTATATATATATATATAGATCAAATATATATATATACATATATATATACATATATATATATATATATATATATATATATATATTTTTTTTTTTTTTGAATATATATATATATGCATATATATATATATATATACACATATATATATATATATATATATATACACATATATATATATATATATATATATATATATAATTTTTTTTTTTTTTTTTTGAATATATATATATATATATATATTTATATATACATGTGTATATATACATATATATATATATATATATGTATATATATATATATATATATATATATATATATATATATATATGTATATATATATAGATCAAATATATATATATACATATACATATATATATATATATATATATATATATATATTTTTTTTTTTTTGGAATATATATATATGCATATATATATATATATACACATATATATATATATTCACACATATCTTCACTTACGGGGCCATATATAAGACCGAGTTGAGTGGCATTATTTCATGCAGTCAGTTTTTATATACGCCACTATATAGGCCTATAATGAACATTTCCATACAACAGAACTAAGGGGTACTAAGTTATATATATAAACTATATATTTGATTTTACCATAGGTGAAAACATATTGACCAATAACATAAAACCCCATTAAAAATATATACATTTGTGGGACATATATCATTTACTACTTAAACCGGCCTACGGGCACTATGTTAGAAGGGTAGCCTACGCCCCATACATCGTTTTAAACATGCCAGAGTTGCGAGGCCTTATGTATGCCCACATTAAATATAAACCCCACAAGTATGGTCTCAAATAGACCGATGCCCCGTAAATGGAGGAATGTGACTGTATATATATATATATATATAATTTTTTTTTTTTTTTTTTTTGAATATATATATATATATATATTTATATATATATATATATATATATATATATACATGTATATATATATATATTTTTTTTTTTTTATTGAATATATATATGCATATATATATACACACACATATATGTATATATATATCAAATATATATATACATGTATATATATATATATATATATATATATATATACATGTATATATATATTATAGATATATATATATATATATATAGATAGATATATATATATATATATATATATATATATATATATATATATATATATATATACATGCATATATATATATATGCATGTATATATATATACACACACATATATATATATATAAATTGCGTCATTGTTTCTATTTTTAGAAATTGCGTCATTTTTTCTATTCTTAGAAATTGCTGCATTGTTGCTATTTTTAGAAATTGCGTCATTTTTTCTATTTTTAGAAATTGCGTCATTTTTTCTATTTTTAGAAATTGCGTCATTGTTGCTATTTTTAGAAATTGCGTCATTTTTTTATTTTTAGAAGTTATGTCATTTTTTTCTATTTTTAGAAATTGCGTCATTTTTTTCTATTTTTAGAAATTGCGTCATGTTGCTATTTTAAGAAATTGGGTACTGTTGCTATTTTTAGAAATATGCTTAATGTTTCTATTCATATATATACAAAATATATAAACAAAACTAATGTGACAAGACAGACCAACTAAATTTATAAAAAGGAAATGTCAGTATATGTTCAAACCTTTCTATGTTTGCGTTTAGAAAAAGTAAAAAGTCGAGCGTTGCCCCCGCCCGGCGGTGGCTCTTGTTAGAAATTGTGTCATTGTTGCTATTTTTAGAAAATGCGTCATTGTTTCTAATTTTAGAGATTGTGTCATTTTTTCTATATTTAGAAATTGCGTCTTCTATTTTTAGAAATTGCGTCATAATTTCTATTTTTAGAAATTGCGTCATTGGTGCTATTTTTAGAAATTGCGTCATTCTTTCTATTTTTAGAAATTGCGTCATAATTTCTATTTTTAGAAATTGCGTCATAATTTCTATTTTTAGAAATTGCATCATTGGTGCTATTTTTAGAAATTGCGTCATTTTTTCTACTTTAAGAAATTGCGTCATAATTTCTATTTTTAGATATTGCGTCATTATTTCTATTTTTAGTATTTTTAGAAATTGCGTCATTTTTTTCTTTTTTTTTAGAAATTGCTTCCTTTTTTCTATTTTTAGAAATTGTGTCAATTTTTCTATTTTTAGAAATTGCATCATTGTTGCTATTTTTAGAAATTGCATCACTTTTTTATTTTTAGAAATTATGTCATTTTTTGTATTTTTAGAAATTGCGTCATTTTTTCTATATTGAGAAATTGCGTCATGTTGCTATTTTAAGAAATTGCGTACTGTTGCTATATTTAGAAATATGCTTAATGTTTCTATTCATATATATACAAAATATATAAAGAAAACTAATGTGACAAGACAGACCAACTAAATTTATAAAAAGGAAACGTTAATATATGCTCAAACCTTTCTATGCTTGCGTTTAGAAAAAGTAAAAAGTCGAGCGTTGCCCCCGCCCGGCGGTGGCTCTTGTTTATGTTTTGAGTTAATTTTCGTCGTTTCCACAGGTACTTGAAACAAACTATTTTAATGTTCTGTATGGGCTATATACTACAGAATTTTCTAGACTTTTAATAATTAGTGAAAGTATCGATTTTCTAAAATTTGAATCTATAATCGATCGACAAAAAAATATCAATGATACATCGATATCGCTTCTATCGATGACGGCTCTAACAACATCTGTATTAAGTAACAACTAAAATAGTTAAAGATGGATATGAAAATGATAAAACTTTGTAAAATGAAAAGCACATACAATGATAGGACTTTTAAATGTTTAAAAAGTTTTTAAAAATTGATTGCATATTTTTGTTGTCTTTGTCAATTAACTAATAAAGTCTTTGTAATAAGGTGTAACAATCAACTGACCAAGCTACAATACCTGTTTTAACACCTTGCGGCTTTTGCTCACGGCTCAATGATACACGCGCTTGAGTGACCAAGTGTCAGTTTAACAGGTACTGATTGTATAGAAAATAACACGTTTGGTTTCCAATTTTATTGTGTCGGAGTCGGAATATGAATTTTCTGTTATAAAGGATAATAGTAATGTTGAAAAGTTTGGTTCCCACCAATTCACTGTCGTTATTTGAATTTGTCAGTATAATGGATTCCGATGTATTGAGTCCTGACTGTAATAAGAAAAAATAAGCAGACATTTAACATGAATGAAAATGGTCATATCAAACGATGGTTATAGTTTTCTTGGTTTACAGTCAGGTTAATGCGACCAGCCTATTTTAACATTATAAATTTCCACTATTAACCAATGATGACTTCAGTCAACCAGTAATGACTAATTTAAAGCAGTATTGACCACTGACTAACCTTACCTTAATTCATACTGACTGGTTTTTGTCAAATTTGATTATTGAAAGTATTTTTTTATGTTTAAAAAAAAAATTGACCTATGCAAAATTGGTTCAAATATATTTTTCAATAGACATTAAATGTCCCTTTAGTTGATTGAATGTGTACCTTTAAAGTGTCGGTTTTTTGTTGTTTTCAGGTTGTATACAGATGAAATACTCACAGACCTAAGCATTGACCTAGGTAGTAGAAAGCTAGCACTTCACAGATGTATAATTAAAGCAAGGTATGCTTTGATAAGTTTATGGCTCAGTCTTTCATAGTTTATTTTATGTAAAGTACATTTTCAAAAACTATTTTGAACTTTTTGCTTAATTATTTAGCTCAACCATTCAATGAAAAGGGAGAGCTGTTGTACTCACCCTGGGTCACATGTTGGTTAATTTTTTTGTGTGCAAAATGGTATCTGCAAATATAATGAAGGCAATAGATTGAAACTTCACACACTTATTTGAAAGCATAATAGTAAGTCTTTTTTCAGGGGTCATTACTTGAACATTTGACAGAATTATGGCCCTTTTTGAACTAAAAGAAATCTATATTATCCAGGCGTTATGTTTTACTATCAAGCATTGAGGATAGTGATGCATGCTGTCCTACTGACAGCTCTTATAGGACTGAGAATGCTTTGTTTTTCTATAATTTCTAAAATTCATATTAAACTTGAAACACATATTCACTATCAATGGCAGGAAAGCCTGCCTTGCACTTTCGAAAGATTATTCCTGATTTTCAACTTTGCTGTAATTATACTGTCTAGCACTAAGGAAAATTGAGCATGTTATAGGCATACAGGTCTTGTTAATATTTTATTTATAATCTTAAGGAATGCAGACTTGTGTAACTTTTTGACATCATTTGAAAGAAATGATGGGAACGAGGCGCTATTGATCCCCAACTCACGTCATTCAGATATAGAAAATTGTCTAAGGTAACATATGGTTTCTATTTTTTCTCTAATCTCTCGTACATAATTATACAAATAGGATTTTTTTAATACATTAATTTACTTTTAGAAGACACAAACTTTGCTGCTGTTTTGATCAGCTAAAATAAAAGTAAGCCTTTTTATGCCCCCACAATGTGGGTGCATATAGCGTTGCACTTGTCCGTCTGTCCGTCACTCCGTCCCGAAATCTTGTGAACGCAACTTCTCTTAAACCGGATGGCAGATTTTGCTTAAACTTACAGGGATGAACAACCTTAATATGTAGATGGTAGTAAAGGAAGGAATTTTTGCTGTGACCAAATTTAACAGAATTATGGCCCTTTGTTGATTTTTTTACTAGATACTATATAGAAATTTTGTGAACGCAACTCCTCTTAAACCGGATGACAGATTTTGCTTAAACTTACAGGGATGAACAACCTTAATGTGTAGATGGTAGTAAAGGAAGGAATTTTTGCTGCGACCAAATTTAACAGAATTATGGCCCTTTGTTGATTTTTTCACTATATACTATGTAGAAATTTTGTGACCGCAACTCCTCTTAAACCGGATGGCAGATTTTGCTTAAACTTACAGGGATGAACAACCTTAAGGTGTAGATGGTAGTAAAGGAAGGAATTTTTGATGCGACCAAATTTTACAGAATTATGGCCCTTTGTTGATTTTTTCACTATATACTATGTAGAAATTTTGTGAACGCAACTCCTCTTAAACCGGGCGGCAGATTTTGCTTAAACTTACAGGGATGAAACAATCTTAAGGTGTAGATGGTAGTAAAGGAAGGAATTTTCGCTGCGACCAAATTTTACAGAATTATGGCCCTTTGTTGATTTTTTCACTATATACTATGTAGAAATTTTGTGAATGCAACTCCTCTTAAACCAAATGGCAGATTTTGCTTAAACTTCCAGGGATTAACAACCTTAATGTGTAGATGTGAGTAAAGGAAGGAATTTTTGCTGCGACCAAATTTAACAGAATTATGGCCCTTTGTTGATTTTAAGTTTTCAACTTGTGGCACAAATATTTGACCTAGAGTCGTAAGATTGACAGAACAGTGGCGTGTGGGGGCATCCGTGTCCTATGGACACATTTCTAGTTTTAGACAGTTTTGAAGCAATGTATCTTCTGATACGCTTTTATATACGCCCGTTTGAAAAACGGGACGTATTATGGGAACGCCCCTGGCGGGCGGGCGGGCGGGCGGCATCCAATTTTGTCTGGAGCATATCTCCTACATGTATGGAGGGATTTTAATGAAACTTCATAGAAATGTTCACCGCTATGAGAAGCAGTGTCGGGCACTGGTCTCTAGGTCAAAGGTCAAGGTCACACTTAGAGCTCATTGAAAAATGCTTGTCCGGAGCAAAACTTCCACATGTATTGAGGGATTTCAATATTACTTGGCACAAATGTTCACCATTGTGAGGCGGAGTGTCGCGTGCAAGATTCAGGTCCTTGCGGCCAAGGTCAAGGTCACACATAGAGGTCAAAGTTCAGATAAAAATATGAAGATGTGTATATGGACCATTTAGTCATCATTTATTGAGGGATTGTAACACAAATGGTCATTATCAAGACTATAGCTGTGATACATGTAATTTAGGTCAATATATACAAGGTCAAGGTCACTAAAGATTATGAAATATCCAGATTTTGTAAATAGAATTTAATCAAAGGGCGACAACAAAGTTATTACTTTGTTCATAAATGACTTACACAATTACTCCCCTTGATCTACTTTCACTTTCAATTCTAAAAATAGAATTTTATCAAAGGGCATAAAATAATCCTCTTTCTTGGACTTGAGTATGTTCTAAAGAATGTAACATTTATTTACACATGTTTCAATCATTGGTCAAGATTCTTAACTGTGATAACTATGGTGTTCTGTAGACTTGGTATTTGTTCATAAAGATCATACAGTAATTACCTTATCAAATGTAAATACTTTCTCATAGAAATTTAATTATCCCCCGCCGAAAATTTTCGGCGGAGGATATAGAAATAGTCTCTGTCCGTCCGTCCGTCCGACCTTCCGTCCTTCCGTCCGTCCGTCCTTCCGTCCGAATTTTTGTCCGGAGCATATCTCTAAAAGTATTTGAGTTATCAACTTGAAACTTCATAGGTGGATAGACCTCATTGAGGAGGAGTGCAGTGCACAAGAATGATAACTCTACCTTGCATGATTTTTGAGTTATTGCCCTTTGTTATTTTTCAAAATTGATTTTTGTCCAGAGCATAACTCCAAAAGCCTATGAGATATTAACATGAAACTTCATAGGTGCATAGATCTCACTCAGGAGGTGTGCAGTGCACATGAATGATAACTCTACCTTTCATAATTTTTGAGTTATTGCCCTTTGTTATTTTTCATACCTTATTTTTCACCTGAGTGGAGCATAACTCAAAAAGTGTTTAAGATATCAACATGAAATGTCATAGGTGGATAGATCTTATTGAGGAGGAATGTTGTGCGCAAGAATGATAACTCTTCCCTATACAATTTTTGAGTTATTGCCCTTTGTTTTTTTTTCATGCTATTTTGTCCAGAGCTTATCTCAAAAAGTATTTGAGGTATCAACTTGAAACTTTAAAGGTGGATGGATCTCATTGAGGAGGAGTGCAGTGCTTAAGAATGATAACTCTATCCTGCATTATTTTTGAGTTATTGCCCTTTGTTATTTTTCAAAATTAATTTTTGTCCAGAGCATAACTCAAAAAGCCTTTGAGATATCAAAATGAAACTTCATAGGTGCATAGATCTCACTCAGGAGGTGTGCACTGCACAAGAATGATAACTCTACCTTTTATAATTTTTGAGTTATTGCCCTTTGTTATTTTTCATACTTAATTTTTCAATTCAATTTTTTTCTCTAAAAGTATTAGAGGTATCAACTTGAAACTTCATAGGTGAATAGATTTTACTGAGGAGGGATGCAGCACACAAGAATGATAACCTACCCTGCATTATTTTTCAGTTATTGCACTTTGTTATTTTCAGCCATCAGTATTCACATAGGTTTCAAATCTGTAATCACTATAGCCATCAGTTTTCATTACCAAAAGACCTCTAAAAATAGAATTATTCTGTTCTTCTACATATACATTCTTCCAATGAGCAAACACATTCGGCGGGGGATGGCCATGTTGACATGGCTCTTGTTATATTTTAATTTTCAAGTAAATATCAGTTCAACTCTCCTACATGTATGGAGGGATTTTCATGAAACTTCATAGAAATGTTCAACACTATGAGGAGCAGTGTCGCGCACATGAACCAGGTCTCTAGGTCAAAGGTCATGGTCACACTTGGAGCTCATTGAAAAATGCTTGTCCGGAGCAAAACTTCCACATGTATAGAGGGATTTCAATATTACTTGGCACAAATGTTCACCATTGTGAGGTGGAGTGTCGCGTGCAAGATTCAGGTCCTTGCGGCCAAGGTCAAGGTCACACATAGAGGTCAAAGTTTAGATAAAAATATGAAGATGTGTATAGGGACGATTTAATCATCATTTATTGAGGGATTGTAACACAAATTATCATGACTACGGCTGTGACACATGTACTTTAGGTCAATATATGCAAGGTCAAGGTCACTAAAGATGGTGAAATATCCAGATTTTGTCTGGAGCATATCTCCTACATGTATGGAAGAATTTTTATAATACTTTATGGAAATGTTCACCACCATGATATGTTTTGCTCCATGCATGATCCAGGTCTCCAGGTCAAAGGTCAAGGTCACACTTAGAGCTCATTGAAAAACGCTTGTCCGGAGCAAAACTTCTACATTCATAGGGGGATTTCAATATAACTTGGCACAAATGTTCACCATTGTGAGGCTGAGTGTCGCACGCAAAATTCAGATCCCTGCGACCAAAGTCAATGTTACACGTAGAGGTCAAAGTTCAGATAAAAATTTGAAGATGTGTATAGGGACCATTTAGTCATCATTTATTGATGGATTGTAGCACAAATGGTAACTATCATGACTACAGGTGTGACACATTTAATTTAGGTTAATATTTGCAAGGTCAAGGTCACTGGAGATGATTAAATATCCAGATGTTGTCCGGAGCATATTTTCTACATGCATGGAGGAATTTTAATGTTACTTTATAGAATTGTTCACCACCATGAGACGTAGTGCCCTGCACATGAACCAAGTCTCTAGGTCAAAGGTGAAGGTCACAGTTAGAGCTCATAGAAAAACGCTTGTCTGGAGCAAAACTTCTACATGCATAGAGGGATTTCAATATAATTTGGCACAAATGTTCATCATTGTGAGGCTGAGTGCCGTGCATAAAATTCAGGTCCCTGCGACCAAGGTCAAGGTCACACATCCTGTGCATATCTTCCCTACTGATTTGTTTTAAGGTTCATTTAACAACACAGTGCCAAGAATAAAAACTTGCTTGCTAGATAACACTTATCCATAATGCCCCCATCTCCATCTTAAGCTTTCGTAAACGGGCGTATTTTGCGACTATGGCACCCTTGTCTAAGGATATATTACATGAAAGAAAAATTGTCCTGGGCAACTTGTCTCAGGTAATTAAATATTTGAATACTATTTATTGAAGTTTTGTGTGTAACTTTTTGATCTTGTACAGAATTTGATATTTTTTTCTATAGGTCACTATATACTGATGATGATGTAACAGCTAGTGTAGAGAAACTGGACACTTATTTCCAGCAAGAATCAAACATTGAATTAGAACAGCCAAACACTGACAACACTAATGACTTGGAAAATGATATGATTGACACCGACAGAGATACTTTACATGTGATATCTGAAAACATAACAAATACTAGTCTAGACCTTGTCAAAAGTGAAGTTGGTTGTTTAAAAAGGGAGATTTGTATTGGAGAAGGGGAAAGAAGTAACGGGTGTACCTCTATCTGTGATAATTCTGATTGTGATAAATATAATGATAAAATGTATGGTAGTGTTGAGAGAGGGAATGAAGCTGGGAACAAAACAAGCACTTGTGATAATACAACGGCGGTTTGTGGTTGTGAAGAGGAGAATGATGAGGAAAATATTTATAAATTAGCCGAAAGAATTGTAAAACAAGTAATTGAAGAAGCTCAAAGTATTGTTGCAAAGGACAAAAGTGATAATCCTTTAGATAATATTGCCAAAGAAAATGAGAGTGCCAAGGAAGTGGAATCTTTGATATATTGTAATGATAGTGCTGAAATTGAGAAGAAAATTAATTCTAGTGAAAAAGATAACAATGGCCAAAATTCAATCAAATCAAATACCTCTCCAGGAAATCAATCAAATACCTCAGTAGAAAATCAAGCACAGCAAACAAAATGTTGTAGATTTAACACGAGAACAAATATAGACAGTATACAAGGGTTACAAGAAAGAGTGTTTGGAGTAAAAACATTATTGAGACCATGTAGTAAGCTTGGTGAGGACTTGCTTAGAATGTTACTAGAACAAGAGTCTACAGATTGTTCTATAGAAGTACAGGGAGAAACATTCCGTGCCCATAGGTAATACTTTACACAATAAATCTTATATTGTAAATGAGCCACGTCACGACAAAACCAACATAATGGGTTTGCTACCAGCATGGATCCAGACCAGGCTGCGCATCCGCGCAGTCTGATCAGGGTCCATGCTGTTCGCTATCAGTTTCTCTACTTGTAATATAGTTGGCAAGTGAACAGCATGGATCCTGATCAGGCTGTGTGGATGCGCAGACTGGTCTGGATTCATGCTGGTCGCAAACCCATTATGTTGGTTTTGTCATGAAGCGGCTCAAATGTACTTATTCAAGTTCATAGGTTTATAGATATGCTGGTGGAATTTTTGAGAATTTGGTAACAAGTCAGAAATCACAAACAATGCAATTTCATAAATCATTTTCGGAAAAATATATACTTTTGGAAAGGGGAATTGAGCTTAATTTCAAGCTCTAACCTACCCTTACAAGTACTGCAATATTTTTGCATTAGAAAAATCGTTGTCAAAGGAATAATTAAAGACAATTTTTGTGTTATTACAATACATGAAATTTTCTGTAATTTAGGTGTATTTTAGCTGCTCGTTCATCATATTTTGCTGCGATGTTGTGTGGATCATGGAGGGAGAGCGAAGAAGAGACAATAGTGTTAGAGGGGTGTGTACAATGTACATTTATATTTAGGAAATAGATATCAATTTTAAGTGCATTTTTAGCTCACCTGTCACAAAGTGACAGGGTGAGCTTTTGTGATCGCTTTTCGTCCGGCGTCCGTCCGTCCGTCCGTCGTCCGTCCGTAAACTTTTGCTTTAAATGACATCTCCTCATAAACCACTGAGCCAATTTCATCCAAACTTCACAGGAATGTTCCTTTGGTGGTCACCTTTAAAAATTGTTCAAAGAATTTAATTCCATGCAGAACTCTGGTTGCCATGGCAACCGAAAGAAAAATCTTTAAATATCTTCTTTTAAACAACCCTAAGAGCTAGAGCTTAGATATTTGGCATGAAACATCTTCTAATGAGTGTCTACCAAGTTTGTTCAAATAAAAGCCCTGGGGTCAAAATTGGCCCCGCCCCCGGGGGGTCATTGATTTTCCCTATATGCATATAGTAAAAACTTAAAAGATCTTCTTTTAAAGAACTGTAAGAGCTAGAGCTAAGATTTTTGGCATGGAACATCTTCTAGTGAGTGTCTACCAAGTTTGTTCAAATAAAAGCCCTGGGGTCAAAATTGGCCCCGCCCCGGGGGGTCATTGATTTTCCCTATATGCATATAGTAAAAACTTAAAAGATCTTCTTTTAAAGAACTGTAAGAGCTAGAGCTAAGATTTTTGGCATGGAACATCTTCTAGTGAGTGTCTACCAAGTTTGTTCAAATAAAAGCCCTGGGGTCAAAATTGGCCCCGCCCCAGGGGGTCATTGATTTTCCCTATATGCATAAAGTAAAAACTTAAAAAATCTTCTTTTAAAGAACCCAAAGAGCTAGAGCTTAGATATTTGGCATGAAACATCTTCTAGTGAATGTCTACCAAGTTTGTTCAAATAAAAGCCCTGGGGTCAAAATTGGCCCCGCCCTGGGGGGTAATTGATTTTCCCTATATGCATATAGTTTAAACTTAAAAAATCTTCTTTTAAAGAACCGTAAGAGCTAGAGCTTAGATATTTGGCATAAAACATCTTCTAGTAAATGTCTACCAAGTTTGTTCAAATAAAAGCCCTGGGGTCAAAATTGGCCCCGCCCCAGGGGGGTCATTGATTTTCCCTATATGCATATAGTAAAAACTTAAAAAATCTTCTTTTAAAGAACTGTAAGAGCTAAAGCTTATATATTTGGCATGAAACATCTTCTAGTGAATGTCTACCAAGTTTGTTCAAATAAAACCCCTGGGGTCCAAATTGGCCCCTCCCCAGGGGTCATTGATTTTCCTTATATGCATATAGTAAAAACTTATAAAATCTTCTTTTAAAGAACCCAAAGAGCTAGAGCTAAGATATTTAGCATGAGACATGTTCTAATGGGTGTCTACCAAGTATGTTCAAATAAAAGCCCTGGGGTCAAAACTGGCCCGCCCCGGGGGTCATTGATTTTCCTTATATACATAGCAAAAACTTAAAAATCTTCTTTGAAAAAACCCAAATAACTAGAGTTTAGATATTAAGCATGCAACATCTTTAAGTAAATATCTACAAAGTTTGTTCAAATAAAAGCCCAGGGGTCAAAACTGGCCCTGCCCGAGGGGTGTCATTGTTTTTTACTCTATGTGTATAGTAAAAACTTAAAAAATCTTCTTTTAAAAAACCCAATGAGCTAGAACTTAGATGTTTTGCATGAAACATCTTCTTATGGGTGTCTACCAAGTCTGTTCAAATAAACAAATAAAAGCCCTTGGGTAAAAATTGGGCCGGGGGGGGGGGGGCTATATACAGGTGAGCGACCTCCGGGCCATCATGGCCCTCTTGTTGTTGAATATTACCCTGTTTATATTATATAGTCACAGAATATGTGTGTTAAATAACAGAGATATTCAGTGCTACAACTTTTCCAAGACACCACCAAAACTTGGCATAAGATTATGGAAATAATGTAATTTTACTGATTAATAAAATTTATAGAAATATTTCATAAGAGATAGCTGTATTCTCTTAAAGTAGAGAAATAGGAAGGTATAACTCTGTTTTATCAGTTATCAATGTTGATTTTGTATATTTATAGAATACATGAAAATGTTTCAGGATATTACCTGCAGTATTAAAGCAGACGTTACTATATTTATATGGTGGAGTTACTCAGGTAGATCCCCAGTGTCCACTAGGAGGGCTCATTATGATGGCGGACATGTATGGGATGGAAGGGCTGAAGGAAGTTGTAGCATTTAATCTTAACATAGGCTATTGTCATTTCTTCCACAGGGTAAGCTAAATATTGTCTTTCACTACTAAACATATTCTGTAATGATTTTCTTATGTAGACATGTTATAAATTAGCATTTAACACAAGATTCTACACTAAGATTAAAATTTCCCTATACTGAGATTAAAAAGAATGCTAAGAAAAAGTCAGTTGAAATTGTTTGAAATATTGTGCAGAGTGCAGTAATTGTGGTCTGCCTCTTAATAAAAACTTGACATTTATCATGTGACTATGGCGGTATCACAGTTATTTTATGGCACAGGTGTTTGGTATGTTAATTGGTCAGTGCAATGCCCAATCCACTCTACAAAAAGCCCCTATTCCCTCCACAAGCCCCTTTCTCTCCCTGATGTTTAAGCTAAGATGATTGTTATTAAATGTATGAAATATGTATGACACTTGGAAAATACTTCAATTTACTTTGTTTAGAGAAAAGAGGGATAGGAATGGGGGAGGCAGTGTATTTTAGAGGGGTGATTAATTATATTGACCTTGAGTCATCCAACATACAAAACACCTGTGCGTGAAATTGAATGAAATAGAACTAATATAAAACTTACAGTATTGAATTAATTTATGCTGTATGTAAGAAGGCAACTTTTTAATTGGTAAGTTTTAAACAACAATTTAATTGTCAATACATGTTGTTGACTTTTAGATAGTTCAATTTAATTGGTAAGTTTTAAACAACAATTTAATTGTACATATTGTTGACTTTTAGATAGTTTAAGTAAGTATATATATGAGATACGAAGTCAACTGTCTATAATATCAAGATGTTATGAAGATTTTACATTATTTTAGCCGTGTGTAGAATGTATTGCTGGTGTACCTGAAGCATTAGCTCTGACAATGATGTACAACATTTATTTTAGCCGTGTGTAGAATGTATTGCTGGTGTACCTGAAGCATTGGCTCTGACAATGATGTACAACATTTATTTTAGCCGTGTGCAGAATGTTATTGCTGGTGTACCTGAAGCATTGGCTCTGACAATGATGTACAACATTTATTTTAGCCGTGTGCAGAATGTATTGCTGGTGTACCTGAAGCATTAGCTCTGACAATGATGTACAACATTTATTTTAGCCGTGTGCAGAATGTATTGCTGGTGTACCTGAAGCATTGGCTCTGACAATGATGTACAACATGGACGCCATGAAGGAGAAATGTGTACGATGGATCAACAAAAACTTCGGGAAAGTATGGCCGGGAAAATCTTTAGCGACTCTACCTCAAGAAGTTTTAGAGTTTACAGTATCTAGTGCAGTCAAAGACCTGGTAAAGTCATGTACTTTATGATTCTGAATTGAGTAAATTGTTAGATGAAAATGTTCATGATTGACTTTGATATTTGTATGAAATGATACAGTCACTCTTTTCAAGAATAGTAACTGTGTCCAACTGTTTTGTGATGCCTTTGTTACTAATCTCCCTTTATAAAAAGGGCTAATATCAGTAACTGCCTTGTCTTGTTCACTGCCATGTAAATTTTGTCCGGAGTAAAAATTTTCAATTCTTAAACTTAAGGCTATGAGCTACTTTGTATTAAATTTTTTCAAGTTTTGAACTTCACATATAATTTTACAGGCACTCAACAATGTACTGGATGTTTTGGTAGATTGTCAGAGGTTGAACGAGAAAACGCCACACTTGAAGTGGACAGAACCTGTGTTTGACATGATAACTCAGTTAATGGACGCAGCCATCGAGTTTGCCAGCAAAAACTTCATCAGTCTCATATCCGGAAATACATTTAGGAAAATTGATAAGGTACATTTTTTTTGCAAATGAAGGGGCGAGGGGAGGATTGGTTATATTGTTTTTGTCCTATTTAAAGTGACATTATGGCCATATAATGTATATACTGTAGTGAGTGAACAGGTGAAAGTCAAAATAAGTTACATTTTTCCACACTTCTTATAAATTTAAAAATTTACTGTGTATAAATGATAAATAACTTGTGACTGAAGGAAATTTCTGTAAATATCCATAGGAATTTATGTTAATCTTCAATTTATAAAAGAGTCTTTTATATATTATAGGAAGATTTATATTTTATTCTACACTTTTTCCAATATCAACTTTGAGTCAATCACCTATATAGCAGTCAGTCATTTGAAATATATCAATTCAGCTCAACTTGACGAAGAAAATATCACTTGAATTTATTTGTCTCCTTGTACACAATAATAACATAAATATCTTCATTTTGTATGCTAAAGCCTTTATATATGCATACAAGCTACTCCTGCCTTGATGATTGCTTTTATTTTAACACATGACTTAGACCTTCATGGTTATATTTTCTAAAATCAGTTTATTTCTTCATGAATTAGGAGATTCATGCTTACTTATTAAAAAAAATGTTCAGGTAAAAATAAAACATTTGCTCTTACTTTACGTACCAGTATTGATATAAATAATGACTATATGCCAATATCCCATTAAAAATGTTAAGGCAATGTTTTGATTAAATATGTTTTGAATATTTTTTTGCTTTGTTTGAGTTGACAAAAAAAAAGAAGATAGGTTTAAATTTTCCTTATTGTGTCATGGTTACAACATTGATCAAGTTTGAAAGGCTTGAGTTGTTGCTATAAAAGTAAACAAATCACTGACAGTAGATGTTAGTAAGAGGTTCAAAAATTTGTGAATAAGGACAAACTTTGATGTATGGAAAGGAAAACCTTTTTTTTAGCACCAGGGCTTTTTTTCACAAGTTGGGGAAGCAGCCCAGCCCTTAATTTTGGGGAAAAATTACATGGTATATTTGCAAAAGGGGAAGAAAAAACTTGATGTAAATTCAATATTTGGGGAAAACTGCATGATTTTAAAGAAATTTTCTTTGGGGAAGCAGCCCTATACCGGCCCCTGTAATAGAGGGTAAAAAGGCCCTGAGCACAAATCTTTCTCATTTACCTCTACTTTATTTGTTTGCATTGTTTGTATTGGTTCTCATAATGTTTGAAATTTTGAACAAACAACTAGTGTTTGATATATGTTTTGATAATTATGAATGCATGAAATTGATAGTTGCAAGTTTTTATTTGCCCACGATTATAAGTGAAGTTATTTGTATGATATTTTTAACAGACCGTTGTGTATTGTTTGGTTTTATCGTTTTAATTGATATGAACTTTTATGCATTTGTCTGCACTTAATATTGACACATGTGATTGATGAAGGTAACCTTTTCTATTTGACATTTTGAACAATTTAAAGGTATAGCTCATTTAATTTCTGTACTGATTGAAATAGCTTTCATGATCAAGTTGTTAATTTTATTGGCTTTTAATCATTAACCTTACATTGCTGCATGTCTTAGCCCAGCCTTGGGCTCTTTGTGTAAGGCAATATACTATAAATCTAAAATGCTGCAGTAAGTTATGTTTATTATGTTTAATCACTGGGAAATATTTCTTTATTTAAACACCAGGCAATATCCCTTTAAACAAAAATAGGTGTCCATGTTATAATGTTTTATATTCTCTCTCTATATATAGGAAGGTATCTCATTTAACCAGCAACCACTGGAGGACATATTTGGTATGATAATACAGGCACTGTCACCAGAAAATTCCTGTCTCGCCTATCTGTCTCTACATAAGTGGGTAAAATCTGTAGAAGTTACAGCTGACGACAAAGTACCATTGTTTTCAGAGGTAAATATTTTTTTATGATGATTATTATGATGATATTGATGATTTAAAAGGAATATTTTGATGATGATGAGCATGACTGATGATGATGATTATGAAAAAAGAATATGTTTATGATGATAATGACTCTGGTGAAACTATTACTGATTGTGATGATGATGATGATGATAGTTATTATGATGATGGTGATGATGACAGAAAAAGAATATGCAAATTGTGATGACTTGTGAAACTGTTACTGATGATAATGATGATGATGATATGATGATGACAAAAATGGAATGTAGTAATTATGATGACTCTTGTGAAAATGTAACTGATCGTGATGATGATGACAGTAATGAAAATGTTGATGTTCATCATGATTATGATGTGCTGTTTGTGTTCTGTTTATCTTATTAATGTAATAATGAACAGGTTCTATACTTTCAGCTGCTAAATTTTCATCATTTTGTATGGAACGTCTCTAAATATACAATGAATACTAAGACATGTGTGTTACAAAGATTGAGTAGGATAAAGGTTAACTCTGAATTTAAAAAAAATGATATAATTAATGTCTAATACAATAATGTTGACAGAGTGTCTTACACACTTTATGTTGACAGTCATTATTTATGTCTAATACAATAATTTATCACATAAACCGCGGCGCAGGAGTGTAATAAAGCCATTTAATAAAAACGATATTACACTAGACGATATTACACTAGTGTAATAACACTTTGATGTCACGTCATTTGCGCTATAAACATAGCGTTAAAGCGCGCTAATGTTAGCGTTACAGTACAGGCGCGGCAAAGAAAAATGACTCTTGATAACAGTTTACCGTTCTTATTTTATATATGTGATAAATAGAATATTATATTCGTGTAGATTCAATACTAAATTTATTAAACTCGTTGAATAAAACAATATTATGCTCGCCAGAGGCTCGCATAGTATGATTTTATTCAACTCGTTCAATAAATTTAGTATTAAACCTACACTCATTCAATATCCTCTATGTTTACAAAGTTATAACTTTCGTCATATTCAATTATGTTGACTTTGTGGAAGTTTATGTCTTATACAATTTATTTTGATAGAGTTGTTTTATGTCTTGTAACAGTTTATGTTGATAAAGATACATTTTCATTACTTGAAACATTCATGTCGATGAAGGTAATCAGGTTTTATGTCCTGTACAAGTTATATAAACAGAGATATGTTTTCTTTATTTTGGTAGGAATTTGCGGAATTTGTTAATACATTGTTTAAGAAGTGTAAGGACCACCTATGTTTGTATGTCCATCAAGCTGCCAACACTGTAGAATGGGAACTTCTGTCAAAGGAAATGCAACAAACTATAATGCAAGGTGAGTGTTTTTCTTTCTTTATTTGTTTTTTTCAAGGTTACAGTGGGTTGTTTTTATTAAACTATTTCATTGATTTTGATGTATTTCTTTTGTTTTTTGTATGAAGCAACAATCTATCTTCCATCCGTCTTCCATTAATGTCAAACCCCTAGTGGGGACATAGACATGACTCTAGACTAGTCACTTCAGAGACAGCTATGAGATACAAGTGAATCTGGGAACCAGTCCCTAGCTCTTATTGAATAGACCCCTTGGTTATTTTACATGCCCAGAATATAGCATTGATACTTGCGAGGATTATCTGGATTTCTTTCGAGTTCACCTCTTGTTAGGCGGAAAAACATTGAAAGTGTCCCTGAAAAATCCCAAGGGTGTTACCAAGTATAGAACCTGGTACTTCAGAAGTGACAGCCAGTGGTCTAACCACTTGAGCTATTGCACCACATATGCCTTCTTTAGGGATGGCTTACGGCTGTTGAAATGCACTTCATTGTATGAGTTTGATTATAATATGTCAAAATAGTACCCCATGCTTTTGGAATGTCTCTGGTTTTACACACTGGCACACTGGTTTTATACCAAGTAACTCTACAACATGACTAGGGGACTAGATAATTGGAGTATTCACTGTATGTTACAATAAGATCTTACATGTTAAAGTATGAAATAAAACCTTTGTGATTTGACATCATTTATCCATCGGAAACATTGCTGGTTTATATGTGATCTAAAAAAAATTTCAATAGGTTGGCTTATATAATTAAACGCAAGAAGCTAAAATGATTGTTTTGTATAAAATTTAGTATTTAAAGTACCAAGATATATTTGTGTTTTTTTTTGTGTGGTATAATTTCAGATGCAAATTATGTATGTATTGATACTAATAGAGGACGTATGGCACGACCAAAATTGACTAGCATGCAAAAGGTATGTTGTTTATCTTTTATCTACCTTTTCACACAATCTATACATTGTATAAATACGTTACAAAAAAATACATCCAAACTCTAAAATTCCCATTTTAGAATGTTCCTAGAAGGTTTTGCAAAAGTTTTAAATCAAATTGATCACTGAATGTTTTCATATGAAACTACTTTGTTTTTTATGCTCCCCGAACAATTTCGGGGGAGCATATAGTCGGCGCCTTGTCCGTCTGTCTGTCTGTCCGTCCGTTTTCTTGTCCGGAGCATAACTTGAAAACTCTTGGAGATAATTTGTTTAAACTTCATACAGTGGTAGTGGGCATTGAGGGGGAGTGCAGTGTCAAAGAACCATAACTCTATTTTGCCTGGTTTTTGAATTATCTCCCTTATAGAAAAATCTTGTCCGGGGCATAACTCTAAAACTATAAGAGATATCAACATGAAACTTTGCAGGTGAATAGATCTCAATGGGTAGATGTGCAGTGCATAAGAACAATAACTCTTTTTGTCCTAATTTTGGAGTTATTGCCCTTTGTTAATATCAAAACTTTGAACTTTGTCCGGAACATAACTCTAAAACTATAAGAGATATCAAGATGAAACATTATAGGTAGATAGATCTCATTGAGTAGAAGTGCAGTGTAAAAGAACCATAACTCTGTTAAGCCTCATTTTTGAATTATCTCCCCTTATAGAAAAATCTTGTCCGGGGCATAACTCTAAAATTGTAAGAGATATCAAAATGAAACTTTGTAGGTGAATAGATCTCAATGGGTAGATGTGCAGTGCATAAGAACAATAACTCTTTTTGTCCTAATTTTGGAGTTATTGTCCTTTGTTAATTTTAACACTGAACTTTGTCCGGAACATAACTCTAAAATTATAAGAGATATTAAAATGAAACATTGTAGGTAGATAGATCTCATTGAGTAGAAGTGCAGTGCAAAAAAAACATAACTCTGTTAAGCCTCATTTTTGAATTATCTCCCCTTTTAGAAAAATCTTGTACTTGACATAGCTGTTAAACTATAAGAGATATCAACATGAAACTTTGTAGGTAGATGTATCTCAATGGGTAGATGTGCAGTGCATGAGAATCATAACTCTGCCTTGCCTAATTCTGGAGTTATTGCCATTTGTTTATTTTTACTTTTTGAAGTTGTCCGGAACATAACTCGGAAACCATAAGAATTAAGAGATATCAACAAGAAACTTTGTAAGTTGATAAATAAGTTATTAGAAGTGCAGTGCAAAGAACAGTAACTCTGCCTTTCCTAATTTTGGAATTATTGCACTTTGAACTTTTTCCAGGGACATAACTCTGAAACTACAAGAGGTGTACTTTCCTGTGTCCAAAACCTATTCGGGGAGCATCACCCGGCTCAAACCGGGCTCTTGTTTTTAATGGCAGTCACTTATCAAGGTTCTTAAATCTAGCACCAATTTTTACTTAATTATGCCCCATTGTGCACTTAAAAAGTCCTTGTTGAAGTTTAACATTCTTTCACTGAATTGTATAAATTCTGATAAACTTTCCAAAAATTACTCATTTGCCAATTACCTGAACCATAGTTTGCCTCTGTTGCTTTTCGGCAAGTAGTACAGTAACATTGATTTAGTATTTTGTATGGAAGTCAAAATACTAGTACTACTTTGTTTCCATTTTTGGACATATTTCACATTTGGCATGGCTATTTTCAGATGAAAGCATCTAACATGCTCTAAAACCATTATTGACTCATGTTTGTCCTTTCTGAAGAAAGAAAATATATTTTTTTCTTGGGCATAATGTGCCTTTAATGTAAGTCTTTATAAACCAATTGAATTTTCTGTTGTCACACAGAACAGTGTTATTGGTTTATTGGTAAGAATTTATATAAAAAAGCCCCATCTAAGTTGTATTTATTCACAAACTTGAATATTGACTTTGATTTCTTTTTGTTGCATTTCTTTGAATTATATTTTGTTTATGTGACCTGGATTGTTAATTTTATTTTAATGTCCGATTAGGAACATGGTTTTGATTTGGAATTCTTTCTTATTTGAGACCTAACTTTTCTGTATTTTTATAATGGACTTATCCCAGTTTAAACTGTACTATTAACATGATTAATGGACTTAGTATCAAAATAGAAAAAAATGTGTACCCTTTGTAGATACGACAAGTTATAACAGTGCTTGGCACTAGATGTGTTCAATAATTTAGCAAATTGTATGCTTCCATTGTTTAAATCTTTAAAAAAAAAACGTGGCCTAGTTTCTGATTGGTTCATGATTTCAAATATGAATGTTTTCATTTGATTCCAGAAGTTTATACTGTATTATACAATTAATTAAGCTGAATAAGGACTTTTTGCTGTTATATAAACTCTCGGAAGTCTGTCTGGAATTTTCTATATATGTTCACTTTAGGATTTTGTAAAAATGAAACATTACAAATTGAAATTAAATAATTATCATGATGTCTATTGAAAATCATTATGTGATAAAAAAGTAATTGAAGAGTTAAACTTCCAATGAAAAATTTTTGTTATGTTTTTATGGAAAAAACAAAAATGGTCAGAATTTGCTTCAATCTTTTATAAATATATATAATCAATTATGTTATAGCCATATAGTCTTTGGGATATAAAATCAAAATGTTAATGGTGTTGAAAATAAATATGATATTATCTAGGTCCCTAGGTGCATATAGGTTAGTTGTGACTGATTCTGAATAATGACCCAAAACCATTTGTTCCACACTGTTGTGAGTTTGAACCCGCAAATGACTTTCTTTCATGTGAGACAGCTTATCAGCTAGCATTCAGAGCGTCTGTGGTTCTACTCCCGCCACATTAAGGTCCTCTTCCACCACTACACATTATGACCTTTACTGTGTTGGTGTGATGTAAACCCCAAAAGAAGAAAAACTGAAGAAAAAAAAACCCCATTACATCCCCTCCCCCAAATGCTGAAGTATTGAAGTGAATATAAGTGAATTTTTATTTGTTCTACCTTTGTCTGTGTGAGACAGAAGGGCTCTGACTCTGTCTTTTAATGGCATATCAATACAATTTGACTAAAATCTCTGCATCTGAAATGTCATAATATATGTAATTTGTAAATATTTAATATGTACGAGGGTTGTCCCAAAATATCGTAGACAAAGTCTGTTACTCAATCAATTATAAAACAATAGAGTCGTCAAGCTAGGGAAAAGTCAATACACCTTTTATGTGTGTCTATGCGAAATAAAATCAAAATACCTCCAAAATTGACCAAGTTATGAACATTTAAAGAATGCTACCTATACATACCCGGCGCACGTTGTCATAAACGTCATGACGTCACAAGATATAAAAAAAATGTTTTTCAAAGTATTTTCCGTGATTCTCGATGCACTGTTGGTGTCGGGCGACCCATTTATCATTACCATTTACAAAATTGTCCTGCTTGAATGTTCTCAACACTCGTTGAGTTTCCTTGCTTAGTACCCTGAAATTTTCGAACCTCAGGGTGACCTCGTAATTGTGATTTCATATAAGGAAACACTGCAAGTCTAAGGGCGTATGGAAGTCTCTAAAAACCTATCACATCAAGTTCAAGCTGTGTCTCCTGAGATCTATGACAAAGTGCATTATCTTGATAAAATATAATGTTCTCCATGTTGTCAGTTAATGCTGGACACTTCTTGAACTGAACACAGTATTCAATGACATCGCGCTGCGCCGCATTTTTATCAGACGTCGCCATTTTGGGAATTTTCAAAATAGCATTGCTGTTACATATTATGCTACAGATTTTTTCAAAGTAACGTTACATAAACGTCTGTTGGTGATATGATGTAAAAGTAAATGACGTAATTCCACAGGAATGTATTTCCCATAATTATTATTATGCTGAAGTTTAAAGGCATGTTTTTAAAGAAGCATGCTCTCAACACTGACTAATATTTCATCGTATGTTGTTACTGTTTAATATAAACCCCTGCATAAAAAGCGTTACCTTATATATTGACTATTTACTTTAAGAAGGTAAATTAACAAATGACCAAGGAAGATATCTGGTAAATTTTATTTCAAAAGTTATGACGTCAGGTTAAAGAGAAAATAATGTAGTCTACGACATTTTGGGACAACCCTCGTATAAATGTCTGTTGTGATAAATGTTTGAGGATTGTCTTGCAAAGTCTGTTATTAAGTTGTAGCTTGTTAAAATCTTATAATTGTGAATATTTTACTAACAACAAAAGAGGTATTTTAAACAGATATACTTTGGGATCTTTCATACTGATCATTTATAAGAAAGTAATTTTCAGTGTGTCTAGCTAGCTTACATACAGTATCTAAATTTCTACATGACATATAAATTATGTATAACTAGATAACAAAACAAAAATTTTGTTTTATTTTCAGAAAATTTCAGCAACATCGCCTCTGTCATTGAAAGAATATTTTGAATGTCATTTTGGACAAGTAAAACCACCGGTCAAAATTCCCAAGTCAAAGAAAGAAAACATTCCAGCTGCCAAACAGAAAGAGGTGACGAAAGGGACAAGGGGAAAGGTTAAACAAGCATCAGCTGATACAAGAAAAATGGACAAATCAAGTGTAAAAACTGTTAAACAAACTCCAAAACTCATCGGTAAAGATACAAGTGTTTATTCCAGTGGTAAGAAGGGGGCTAAAGGTAAGTCATTAACAGATCAAAGTCAGAGTAAAAATGATATGACAGAGGGTTGTAGTAATTCTGCTTTATTTGAAGAAGATATCACATATACTGAAGAAGAATATATTGTTTGAAAGAACTTCCCCCTTTGTTTGATTATAGAAAGACAATAAGGTAAGTTAGAACTTTTGTGACTTTTGACCCCCGGGGAAAGTTTTAAAAAAAAACCCGCCAAATTTTGGAAAGGGAGATTTTTTTAAAAACCAAAAAACCCCCGTAGAGAAAAAAAATTTTTTGGATTATCTTTATGGGTTTTTTTTGTTTGATTTTTTTTAAAATTTGTTTTTAAATAAGCTAAATTTGAAAATATACCTTTTAAGGTTTTGGGGTTTTGCAGGGGTATTATTTTTTAAAGGAAAATATTGAACAGTTTTAAATTTTTAAATGTTGTTTTATGTTTTCAGGTATTGGGTTTCCCAATTTTTTTAAATTTTTTTGAAAGGGGAAAATTAAAATTTCCCCGTGAAATCAAATGGTTGTTTCTTTACTACATTTTTTTGTGATCACTTTATTCAACTATTAAGTCATTTACAAATTGTTTAGTCTTTCAGGTATTTGTTATATTGCTGGGCTTTCATGTTTTTGAAAACATTTTTTTTTTCAAGTTTGTACAAAGTAGGATTCTATTTTGTTTATATTTTGTGTTATTTATTTTTCAAAGCAGGTTGGGTCAACTGGTCATACATTGTACTTACTTTTCTTTTTTTTTTCACTGAATTTCTGTCAGAAACTGCACATGTTGCAGTTATAAAAAAACAAGACAATCTAATAGATGAAATATATAACAGACTTTAGACCTAAACCTAAATACTCAAGGAAAGATTTTCCTGATGAACCATAGAGACTTTCAAGGGAATCGGTTTCAAAAAAATAATACATTATACATGACTGGTTCTCAGCTGCCAAAAGTTTCTTCCACAAATTTTTTTTTTTTACAAAATTTCATCGAAGGCAAGAAAATCAGACTTCTCCTTTTGAAGAATCTAAGATAAAAAAACTCTATCCCAACATCATAAATAAATGAACATTTATTATATCATTGCGAAAAAAATCTGGAGTTGAACCATTGTTGTCAACCGACAAGATGAGGTCTTTAGGTAGTGAGCACACTACTTGACTGTTATTAGCATCAAAGTATCTAACTCGAACTGGGTCTTTCATAAAACTGGAAAGATTAACATACTCATTTTGCCTTTATTATTAATTAAATATTCCTTTATTTTCTGGGTTTGTATTGTCATTGCAATCTTTGAGACAGGAAGCATAATAGATTTAGATATTATCTCTTCAAAATCAATCACTTTACCCTGTTGGGGAGCCTGTTCCTCCAGAATATTAATTCTCTCCTCCTTCACTCCTGTCATTCTATCTTTCTCTTTTAGTGCTTCAGAGGGCTTCCGCTTCCTTCCTGATCCTTTCCCTTTTCCAGGTATGGTTAAGGATCAGTGATTAAAATGAATTTCAAGCCAAATGAACTATACACAAAGCCAAATTAGTTCATAAAATATCTAACATTTTCTAATTGATAAAGTCATTGTATTTGTATTTATAAGTGTTTTAAGTTGCTGAATGTTAGCAACCAACTGCCAAAAGTAGAAATGCATACTTCTTGCAGCAATGGACACATTAAATAAGACATGATTATTCTTTGGTGCCCAAATGCTCATTTCTTTGGTTTGGTAATTGGTTCACCATAAGTCTATTATTAATTTATTCCCATACATGGTTTGAATGGTTCTGGGGTTGTTTATGTTGTAAACAACTTTTTTCTCAAAGTCTGAAATTTTTCCAACTGTTTTGTCGGTGTTTTTTTGGCTGTTTAAATTCTTCTCTTTCCATGTCCATATTTTCAACGTTATCTTTCTCTAATAACTTACACACAGATCATAATCCTCCAGTATATTGTCATCAACGAAATCGCTGATGTTAAAACAAAACCCGGTTTCATTTATTTGTTGTGTCATCTTCAATTATTTATTGTGTCATCTTTATTTATTTTTTCCCCAAAAGTTTCTGACACAATGAGGGCAAATCTTATACGGTTGTGCTGGTACCATAGCGGACTATGGAATTTGACATGTCATAGTAATCCTGAACAATTAGACAATAGCTCTTCTGTGGTGTTGTATGTGACCGGGATATTAAAGCAGTAAAATATATACATAATGATAAAAGTGTATGATTTAATTTAAATTTATCTGTATGTTTATCATTGAGGTCATATAGTGCAATGCTGTTTTTTCTCTGAAAATTTGTAAACATTAAATAGCGAAGACTTGTTGCACTCTTTGTGCTGCTATCTGTGACACCTTCTGAGTTGTACTTCATGTTGTGTTGTATATCTGTTACATAGTGAATTATCAATATCTGGTCCCAAAAATCCAATAAATTCGAAGTCTAGTCTAATTTTTAGCTCGACTTTTCTGATGAAAAGGGGAGCTATCCTACTCGCCCCGGCGTCGGCGTCGGCGTTAGCGTTAGCGTTGGCGTCACACCTTGGTTAAGTTTTTCGTACCACCCCACTTTATTTCAGAAGTATTACAAGTATGGCTTTGAAACTTACCATACTTGTTCACCATCATAACCTCCATCTACAGACAAGAGTACATAACTCTGTCAAGGTTTTTGACAGAATTATGGCCCTTTTTTGACTTAGAAAGTGTATTGAGCTTGGTTAAGTTTTTTGTACCACCTCACTTTATTTCAAAACCATTGGAGGTATTGCTTTGAAACTGACCATACTTGTTTACCATCACGACCTTCATCAACAGACAAGAGGACATAACTCTGTCAAGGTTTTTGACAGAATTATGCCCCTTTTTGACTTAGAAAATACATTGAATATGGGTAAAATCCACTTATTGCCTTAACCCTTTGAGATATTGCTTTTGAAACTTTTAATGCTATTTCACATCATTACCCCCATCTGTACGCAAGAGAAGGTAACTCTGTCAAGGATTTGTTTTAAAAATTAAGGCCTTTTATCGACTTAGAATCTTGGTTAAGTTTTTAGTACCAGTCCACTTTTTGACTGAACTGTTTGAGATATTAATTTGAAAGTTGGAATACTTGTTTACCATCATGGTCCCAAAACATGGGCAGGAGAAGGTAATTCTGTTAAGGATTTTATTTGAATTATGGCCCTTTTTGACTTAGAAACTCAGTTAAGATTTTCATTCTTGTCCACTTGTTGACTTAACCATTTGAGATATTACTTTGGAAGTTGGAGTTCTTATGTGCCATCATGAGACCTATCTGTAAGCAAGAGAAGATAACTCTGTGAAAATGTTTCTTGATTTGTACTTAGAAATTCCTAGTTAAAGTCTTGTGTGCCCTTAACTGTCAAAGTTTTGTTTTATAGGCAAGCACTAAAAAAGTCGAGCGCGCTGTCCTTCTGACAGCTCTTGTTAAAAGATAAACTTGTTTCAATAACACATTAATAATACTTGATATAAAGTTCTTTAAAAATACAAGTATTTTTTTATTTCTGACAATTTCCATTGCCTAGAGATTGATATCTGCAGTTCAAGTTCATTCCTAAGTTCTATCAGTTTTGAAGATGATGAGTAAGGTATGAAGTATGAAATAGACATTTGAGCCGTGTCAAGACATAACTAACATAATGGGTTTGCGACCAGCATGGATCCAGACCAGACTGCACGGATCAGGATCCATGCTGTTCGATATCAGTTTCTTTACTTGTTATAGGGTCTGTAAGCGAACAGCATGGATCCTGATCAGGCTGCGCGGATGTGCAGGCTGGTCTGGATCCATGCTGGTCGCAAATCCATTATGTTGGTTTTGTTGTGACACGACTCATTTGTTAATCTAGTCCTACAATCTAATAAGCTAACTTTTACACTTACTGATAAATATCCAGCAGTGTCTTAATAAGTACTGCTAAAATCTATAATCAGTTGAACTTTGTTTTATACAAAAAAGGAACAAGTTCACTAACCTATGCATAAGTAGATTTACTAGTAATTCTATAAAAATAAAAAACAATTCATCTGTAGATAAGCAACAAGCTCATTTAAGAAGAAAAGAAAAATCACATTAATTTTTATTCTTGTTTATATTACCTGGATCTTAAAGGTGTACAAAAATAAACAATGATTCCAACTGAATCCATTGGGAGAAGGGGAAGTAACTGGGGTTGCTAATGGTTTAACCAAATCCAACCCTTGACTTACTAGGTTCGTTATAATAGCAGGTCTCTCAAATTAGAATGTTTGAACTGCTAGAAGAAGCTTAACTTGAAGAGGTAAGGAAGCGGATTTTTCCATTCTAACACATTCCACATCCTGATTATTGACCATTAAATTTTTCATTTTCTTTATGTATACAGATGACAAAAAAACTGCAGCCACTACAACCATAACTATGGCCTGTAATATAATCCAAATGATGTTTGTGATAATTAAAGAATAAATTACAAATAGTAAAATGATATGAATCAGCAAAGTTCATTGCATTTGTTTAAATATTATTCAGCACATTGTAAATCTAAACTCACTTCTTCATAGTATTGCACTCTGTTAGCCAGTCATTTGATTAGAAGATTACAGATGTTGTCAGTTTGACCTGAAGTTAAATAAAGCATTTAGGTAAGGGTTAGTTGATGAATTGAAAACGCCATTTGCTGAAGTTTCTATCTCTTCAATAGTACTAAATGTTTAATGGTTAATGAAATCGTCCTTTGTTGTTGAAGGAATGTTTGGTGTACCTATTGCTTATTGGTGTCATCTTTGTCCCTTAAAAGAGGTGCCTGGGCCATATCTTAAATAATCTTTGAAGGCTGCAAAATTAAAAAGAAATCATTCCTTTTGTTCAAATATAATTAGTTCACAGGAGTGAATGACGTGCGTCACACCGCTGATAATTCCATTCAAATGGCCTATTATTTATATTTAGTTTATTTAACATGTTCAGCGTAGCATAAACTTAAAATGTTCCGTTTATCTTATCAAATTAAACCAGTCTGTTCAGAGTTGCATCCAATATATAAATTCCAAACCTCATCAAAGTTGCAGTAAACTTTATTTTGTGACTCTCCAGCCTGGCACACCTTGGG